AAACTGTATTTATTTTTATATTTTTATATTTATTTGTATATCTATATTTGTATATTTATTTTATATACTTATTTGTATATATATATATACTGTAATTATTTATATATTTATTTATATATGTGTTTGTATACTTATATATATATATATATGTATATGTATTTATATATATTTATATATTTATATGTTTATATATTTATTCATATAATTATTAAAAATATATTGTTTCTATATTTATTTGTGTATTTATATATATATATATATTATATTTATATATATATTAATATGTTCATATGTTTATTCATATATATATTTATTTATTTGTATATTTATTTATATATTTACATATAAATTAATATGCTCCTATATTTTTTACATATTTTTTAAATTTATATATATATATTCATATATATATGTTTATATATATATATTAATATATTTATTAATATATAAATAAATATATAAACAAATAAATATATAAATACATAAATATATATAAATAAATATACAAATAAATATATAAATAAATATATAAATGAATATATGATAATACAGTATATATAATATAATACAGTATATATAAATAAATATATAGATATATATATACAAATAAATATAATTATAAATATATTATTATTTATATATATATAAATATATATATATAAATATATATATATATATAAATACACAAATAAATATATAAAAAATATATGAAGTTATTAATATATATACATAAATATATAAATATATATAAATAAATATACAAACAATATATAAAAGAATTATATAAATGAATATATAAGAAAAATAATATAAATGAATATATAAATATATATATAAATACATATACAAATAAATATATGAATAAATGTACAAAAAATATACAAACAAATATATAAATGAATATATAAATAAATATATAAATATATACAGTATATATAAAGTAATATATATAAATAAATATATAAATAAATACAGTATATATATATAAATATATCTGTATGTATGTATATGTATATCTGTATTTTAACAACATCTCTATCAGCGCTGCATATATACAAATAAATATATAAAAAATTCTATGAACTTATTAATATATATATATATATTAAATATACAAATAAATATATATATAAATATATAAATAAATATATGAACATATTAATATATATATAAATATATATAAATAAATATAAAAAATAAATATACAAACAATATATAAACGAATTTAAAAAATTATATAAATGAATATATAAACATATAGATATATATAAATACATATACAAATAAATATATAAATAAATGTACAAAAAAATATATAAACAAAAAAATAAACAATAAACAATAAATATATATATAAATATACAAATAAATATAAAAATATATAAATCAACATATAAATATATACAGTATATATAAAATAATATATATATATAAATATATAAATAAATACAGTATATAGGCCTATATATAAATATATCTGTATGTATGTATATCTTTATCTGTATTTTAACAACATCTTTATCGGCGTTGCATACTTTCGGATCGACGATTCGAAAAAGTAACTAAGTCTAAAAGTGTATGTACTGCACATGACTGGACTACGCAATCAAAGCTCCCCAGTGGAAAAAAAAGGATTTAAAATGTATGGCTCGCATGGCTCGCGCATTGGCTCGCATGACTCGCTGGCTCGCACTTTGTCACGACCCTGAGGCGCTAAGTGTAAATCTATTATTTAACACAATTATTTATATATAATTCATTATTTAACATGGAATCACCCATTATTTATATATAATGCATGATGATGATGATGATGATGATGATGATGATGATGATGATGATGATGATGATGATGATGATGATGATGATGATGATGATGATGATGATGATGATGATGATGATGATGATGATGATGATGATGATGATGATGATGATGATGATGATGATGATGATGATGATGATGATGATGATGATGATGATGATGATGATGATGATGATGATGATGATGATGATGATGATGATGATGATGATGATGATGATGATGATGATGATGATGATGATGATGATGATGATGATGATGATGATGATGATGATGATGATGATGATGATGATGATGATGATGATGATGATGATGATGATGATGATGATGATGATGATGATGATGATGATGATGATGATGATGATGATGATGATGATGATGATGATGATGATGATGATGATGATGATGATGATGATGATGATGATGATGATGATGATGATGATAATAATAATAATGTAGTTTTATATAGCGCACATATCCCGGTCTAATGTGAGATGCTCAGGGTGCTTGATATGTGGACTAATACATGTTTTAGAAGTATTCATTTTGAGTGATCCCAGACGACCCCGTTTTGCCAATACATTTTTAAATATCAATAATTTAAAAAAGAATAGAATACAATAGAAGGCCTCCTTTGGGACGTCCCTATAAATTATGTAATTAAGGGGATACTTGTCGGTGAGACGAGGGGCAAACGTTTAACTCTACAGCCAACCCCTTAAGTCAATTAAAATAAAATTACAAAGAATCATTATCATCATTATACGAAAACATGCCAAAAACCCCTATAAAGGTGACAATTTCACGTTTTTCGTTAGTTTCCCCTGAATAGGGGTACTAATATTCAGGGGACACTTTTTTGGTCCCAAAAGTGTCCCCTTAATATACTGGGGTTCTACTGTACTACAAAAAGTTACAATGGCCACCAGCACCTTCTTCGTTATTCTTTATTTCAGACTCAATATGTGGTCCCTAGCCTGTCTCTTATACACATCTAGATGTGTATAAGAGACAGCTATAAAACACCCACGTAACAACGTCACGTTAGGTCAATCGGTGGTGACGCCGGTAGGGTAAATTTTCGTCGGAAGGTATCAAGATGATAAACAGTTTCATTGGACTAAATTCTTGCTTTTGTTAACCGCATGCTTACCTAAGATTATATTGACACTGGTTTCAAATCACGGTTAAATAGTTAAAAATCACCTTATTTTGCGAATTACCGCCCCTCAACTGATCATCGAAACCCCCCCTTCACCTTCGCGCCCCCCCCCCCCATTTCAAGACATCTAGATACGCCACTGCGGTGGGTTCCAGGGGTCTTCACTCCCTGGAAGCCACGGATATTTGACGAATTATGGCGAATTTTTATTACTTATTTGATAGGCATTATTATTATTATTATTATTATTATTATTATTATTATTATTATTGTGATGAAAACTTAACACAAATAGTTCAATGAAAACAATATGGTGGTAACGAACACTACATGAAACATTTTTTTTCAATTTGTTTATTCCCCAACAAAATTTCTCGTCTTCCCCGACGGAGGGCGGGGAGTGGGGGGGGGGCCTCTGGCGCCACTACTGGATTCAAGAATCTGCTGTATCCCTTGCTGTGCCATTTCCGATAGGTGAATAGGCCCTAATTGTAACTTTAGAGCACTGGTGAATATTTATTACTTCGTAATTTGCATAACGAATTATTTATAAACCATGGCTTCCTACGATGTCATTATTTATATATGGTACTCGACCACAACGGTTATTTATATATAATTGGAAGTAAAAACTATTATTTAGATGGCCAGATTGAATTAGATTGGTTGTATGTTCATTTTAAAATTTAAACA